GGGCCCCCCGGATGGGACGTGGTCCCCCTGGGCCCGGAGCGGAGTTGTCACCATGGATGCACTTGCGCATTCAGCCCCAGTGATGGAGTTTGGGGTCCATGAGCCGCCCTTCGAGGGTATTTGCAGATGGGGCAGGAAACCCCACAAAGAGCAATTTCCCCCCCCCAAAAAAAACACGTCAAACAGCTTTCCATTAGGGGGTGGGGGGAAATACCGACCACCAAAGGGGAAAGGTGGCTCGATCCAGCGATGCCTGTCCGCGGCCCCTGAGCAAATGGAGGGAAGGGACCGGGCTGTCCTGTTGGAACTTCCAGCCTTCCCTGACTCTCCCGCAGGGCACCCACAGGGTCATCCGTGCGAGGGGGGGGGAACCCTCCTGGTCCCTGCACTGCTGTTCCAAGGCATACGCACGCACCCACGCGGGGGACACACAAAGATGGGGGCAGGATGGCCCCAATTTCTGCTCAACACCCGGAATACACACACAATCGGGGGGGGGGGGGGAAAATCCCACAAAATATCCTTAGCTGAATTCTCTCAGCTGAAAGCAAGTAAAAGAAAACCACTCACCTCTCTCACAGCTCTCTCTCCTGCTCCTGCTCAGACACCCCCTGTGAGGTACGTGGGGCTGAGAGAACTCTTGACAGAAACTGCTCTTTTTCAAGGACAGCTCTGAGAGAACTCTGGCTTGCCCAAGGTCATCCAGCCAGGTGCAAGTGGAGGAGTGGGGAATCGGACCCGGTTCTCCCAGATGAGAGTCCGCCGCTCTTCACCACTGCACCAAACTGGCTCTCTGGACTAATGATCCAGCACGGCTTCTCTCTCACATTCTCCCGGGTGGTCCAATAAGGTCCGTTTCATCTACTCAGACTGGAAGCCGCTCTCTGGGGACTCGAGTGGGAGTCTTTTGGGCATTACCTCCAATCTGAGCCTTTTTAACGGGAGTTGCTGCTGGGGATCGAACCGGGGACCTTGGGCGTGCCAGGGAGGTGTTCTGCCACTGAGCCACCTGTGTCCTTGAGGGGGTGGCTGCCTGCGCCCGAGGGATGTTGTGGTGTTCCCGTCGCTCCACAGCCTCGGGGGATTCCGGGGCTCTGAGACCGTGGGTCAGTATGGGGACCTGTAAGAGCAGGCGGCTACAGCAGCGCCTCCCACCACGATGGCCAAGGAGAAGCCATGTCTGTCTGTGTCATGTCAAAAACGAAACGCCACAGTCCAGCAGAGCACCTTCAAGACCAGCGACATTGAATTCAGAAGGCGCTTTCGTAAGTTCCGACAGAGATGAAGAAGAGAGAAGAAACTGGATGTATACCCCCCGCCCTTCACTACCCAAAGGAGTCTCAGTGGCTTACAAATTCCTTTCCCTCCCCACAACAGACAGACACCCCTTGTGAGGTAGGCGGGGCTGAGAGAGCTCTGACAGAAACTGCCCTTCAAGGACAGCTCTTATCAGGACTACGGCTTGCCCAAGGTCATCCAGCCAGGTGCAAGTGGAGGAGTGGGGGAATCCCACCACACCAAACTGGCTCTCCTACACCAAACCGAGCATGGGAAACTCCACTGGGAAGCCGTAGGGGTGGGGAGAGACCCAGGAGGTGGCCAATTCTCGGCCCTTGTGGTGTGAGACCTACTTTTTTCAGGGGTGTTCCAGCGGCAGGGGCTGCCTCTGCAGTGGGAAGCCGGCCCTGGAGGCCCCTTTCCAACCTGGGTCGCCACTGGCAGGTGATTCTGTCACCCATATTATTATTATTATTATTATTATTATTATTATTATTATTATTCTCTTTCAATTTATTGATTGCTCAATCCTTGCAGAGCTGCCGGCTCTGAGCGATTTCAGTTACTCATGTATTGACATAGGACTAACAATAATGGGGGTAAGAGAGGACAACATATATATATATTTTTTTTTTGGTTACATATATCATTTTTAATCACACACACTTCGCAGTCGACGGAGTTTGGTCAGCTGTAAGCATCAGACGTGTTCTGGCAGCATTCTTTAGTCAGCGTCACTTAATGTCATCAGCATTTTTCTCAGTCGCAGTGCACCACTGCCACCGTCTGGCCGGAATGGCCCATTGCAGGCTTTTCTTTGATGCTGCGTAGATCTCTCTCGACTTTTGATCTTACGCGCGGACCTTCCGTTTGTCGGCTAACACTTCCCACCGGGGGGGTTGTTATTATTACAGTCTTAAGACCAGCATACAATACATAGTATGAACACCGGCAGGGGATGAGGGAGTAGGGTTGCCATATCCCCTCCCAACCCCGCCCTCCGCAGGCACCACCTCCAAAACCTCCAGGTTTCCCCCAACCAGGAGCTGGCAACCCTGCCAGTGTTCCCTCTAAGATGAGTCAGTGTGAGCTGCCTCACAGTCTTTTAGACTCCGGCTCACACATCTTTGCCTTCCCTCAGGGAGGACGGGGCTCCAGAGCAGACTAATGTATGCAGCAGCCAAATTGCTCGCTCACAACCGATGCTCCCTCTAAGCTGTGGAGTCCTGTGAGCAAAAATTCTGCTTTGTGAGCTACTACCGGCATTAAAGTGGTGAGCCAGTGATTTGGCCACCGCATAAATTAGTGTGCTCTGCAGCCCCCCATACCCTTCCTGAGCTGAGACAGAAAATGTGTGAGCTGGAGGCTAAAAAACTGAGCTAGCTCACTGTGACGACCTCCTTATTCTGGAGGACTGGTTTCCCTTTAAAAGTGTTCTTTTTATTTTGGTCTACTGGGTATAAACGGCTGCCACCAGGAAATTTAAGGCTTTCCAAACCTTTATACTAGTTAGGTAGTCCGAGTTCAAGGATTATGAGGAACTATGTGGTCCTGAGGAAGTATTTCTTTCAGAGCTGGTATATTTGAATAAAAGAGGATTTATTGAAATAATTCATAAATAAAAGGGTAGAACAAAGTATCTAGTAATGTGTAATAAATGAACCATTGCTTGGTGTATCACACAAAATCTGCTCCCTTACTGACAGGGATCTTTCAGGTAATGTT